GGCGTGGTACAGGAAGTCCACAGAAGCCGTCTTCAGCGCTGCGGCTGCTCTTGATCGCCACTCAACCTGTACCTCTGATTTTCTACTTAAATGCCACAATGGTTCTCATGTCAGAACTTTCGTTGGAAAAAATATTTCACTATATATTTTTTTTCCTTCATTTGACTGAGTGGGTAATGTATTTCATGTGTAGCTTTTAAGGGTTAGCCAACAAACCAACCAGTCTAGTTAATGACTAGTAGTAACGCTCAGGAGTAATAAAAAAGAGTGCAGTGTACTCCTGAGCCCAGCTCTCATTAAGCCTGCAGTGAGGCTCACTGCTTGACTTCTGGAGGCACTGGAGATGATTTTGTTCCTGGTTACGCAGCTCTGTGTCTTTTTTATCCATTTAATTGGAATTTATTGCCCCGCATGCAGCTGATGTCTGTACTGCTCGTCGTCTGGCAGTGCATTGGAATGGGGTGCGGATAAGCTACCAGGGATCCTTCCTGAGCAAAGTAGCCTCTGTGATGAACAGCGCAGACCCATCGTCCAGTTTACAGGGAATCCAGCCACCAAGTGCTTTTGTATGGAGGAGTACAAGACGTCCATCTCCATTGGTCCCATCCAGGTTATAAGCTTGCAGGCGACTGATCCACCCACATGGAGGTAAAGAAGATGAATCAATCCGTTCCTTCCGACCCACTATGACCATTTGGAAGCTACAGCAGATGCAACTGCTGGCTGCTTTACATGTCTGAGTCACCTGGGTCTGTGGGGGTGACATAACATGCAGGAAACAAGCTGGGTTAGGGTTAGGATTAGGGTTAGGGTTAGGATTAGGGTTAGGGTTAGGATTAGACAAGGCCCTCAACAAGGTGGATATCCTGTGCTGCTTTAATTAAAATCCTGATGTAGAAAGTGGTGCATGTTGACTTGGTAACCAGAGTGAGTTTTATTTGGATCAAGCATCTCGCTCTAGGGTACAACAGCAAGGCCACTGTGTTTGGGATCAGGGTGCTCATCACTGGAAGCAACTTAGTCACCCTCCCCACCCCGTCCCGCCCCCCACTGACATGCTTTGACTGCTTCAAAGATTATTATTTTAAACATCCCATGGGGGAAAGTAACCGTAACCCAACAGAGACTCTCCCAAGGGTGATTACAGTTTTTTCCAGTCATTTTAACACGT